ATATATAGTTAAAATACATGCACCAAACATTATAAGGTAAATCCAAGATTTAGAAAAGCATAAACAACAGCACAAGACAACAAACACTAATACTATTACAATTGCATGCTAAGGCACGCAACTTATTATTATTATCATCATATGTACTCTCTAATCTCTATTACTACTATTACTACTACTACACCCAAAAGCTAATTAATAAACTACTCAGCCATAAAATACTCCCGAAATAACACTTTGATCATGTTCAGTAGAACTGATGATGAGTTGAAGCAAAGTCCTCCATCAGAAAAACATTAAGAGGATCAGAATCGACGATCCCTGAAAATTGATCAGATGGCTCCAATTCCAGGAACGATTCCAAATTGGAAATCTGTTCCTTCAGTTCATAATCTTCACTAACTATGGGCATTTCCATGGGGTAGTAGGGAGTTTGGCTCTGATACTGGACATCATATCCAAAGTTCATCAAAGGAGAGTTGTCAGAACTCTCAAGGAGTAGTGCTGGTGGTGTATCAGCAGCAGCGACAGTGCTAGTGCACTGTCGCTTAGCTGGTGGTGATGGGGCTGGAAAGTTGAGTTTAGCCTTATCACCACGAATGCGCTTAGCAGCCTCATCATAGGCTCTAGCAGCATCTTCTGCTGTGTTGAATGTACCAAGCCAAACGCGTACACCCTTCTGTGGATCGCGAATCTCAGCAGCCCATTTTCCCCATGGCCTCTGTCTTATTCCTCTGTACTTGTTCTTCCTTGGCCTTGGTCCACTACTCTTCTCCTTCTCAACCTTCACAGTCTTATTACCTGTATAGCAAATACAAAATTTATTAATTATAGATTTATAAATAATTGATGGCTTTTGTTCCTCACATTATTTCTACGATACCAACAACTTTTAGTGGTGATTTAATACTTTAGTTGAAAAATAATTAAAGCAAAGTCTGTCATATTAAATATAATGAATTAAGTGGCCCACACAATTAATTGTACACGTAAAAAAAAAAAGACTAGTCACTTAATTCTTGATAAAATAATTTTGTTGTCTAATTTTCTGTTTAAAAAATGATTTTCCTTCATCAAGGATCGATTTGGTTAATTGAAACTAAAATGGATTAAATAAAAATGACCAAAGAATAGTTTTCAAACATAATATTAATGAAGAAACAATTAGCTAAGGAAAGAGGGTGCTTTCTTTTGGCACAGAAGACAGATAAATTTTGCTTCCATCAAATATTACTTCATAATAATTGATTTTCATTTTTTTTTCAGTTATGATAAGTTTGAGCATGATAATTGATTCGAAAACGACAAAAACAAAATACAGCATATAAGTAAGTAAATTAGTTTATGGAGAACACATGTGCAAATAGATAAACGCAATTGACAGATACTAGTCGCTGCAATAAATTTATTTTATTTTTCCCAAAAAAGAATTGAGAGTAATTGAATATATATCCTGATGGCTGATGCAATAAAAAAGATTAAAAATGAGTATATACGTACGTGTAGATAGCTACAAATAATAAAAAGCCACAAAATTTGATGGTATGTTCTATAAAAATCATAGGTCACTTTAATTCGCAGACTGTCCCGGCCTATAATTGCATTTATTCCCTCTTTATCACAATTTTTTTTATCACCTCCTGACATTATTAACTGTTCACACTGATTTTAAACGTTTTGAAAAAAATTATATTTTTCAAATAACTAATAATTTTGAAAATAAGTAACTAAAAAAATTAAGCAAGGATGGCCAAAATGACCAAAATATGTTACAAAGAACAAAAAGTAAAATTTTGATTTTAAGGCGAGTAAAAATAAATTGAACAAATATTTATTTCTAGCTCTTATGAGTAAAAATTAAAATCCAAATAAAATCTCTGGTAAAAAAAAAGACTTTTTGGTACCTGACAGTGAGTTCTATTGAAAAAAAAATTCAAACGGATTTCAAAAAATATTTTCAATCGTAAAAAGAAAAAGAAAATTACATTACTTGGTGCATTTTTATACATAAATTTTAAGATAGTTATGTACAAATTCACTTTAAAATTAGATATTAAATAATTTTATCAAACACAGAAAGAAGCTAAAAATAAATCATTAGATACATACATTACAAGCACAGATATATCTCTATGTTACCTTTTTTGCCGGAATCTGATTTATTAGGCTTATCGACGGAGTGAGTCACCGGCGACAGAGCGGAATCAGGTTTTCCGACGGTTGAGGATGAGGAAGAAGAGGACCAGTAGTCGGAGATAGGGTCCAGCTCAGCCCAGAGGTCACGAGCAGAAAGTTTCCGGTAGAAGCTTCCGGCGGGATCATAATCGGAGATTATGGCACCTCCACACATCTTTTCTAACTCTTTTTTTTTCTTTTGTTTTCTGAGTGAAAGTAATTGAAAGAGACGATATATTTGTGCTTGGGGTGAGTGCTAATTTATAGAAAAGGATATTTGCAGTTTAGTCCTGTAGTGATTAATTACTTTTAATATTGCACCTCTTAGATAATTAATCTAGCATATACAACCTGAAACTTCTCGAAATGTTCATTTATGGTAACTTTTCATAAAAACTCACGCGATTTTGACAATTGTTAATCCGTAAAAGCACATTGGAACTAGTGATTCCGTTACGAATATGTAGTTTTATACTTCCTCAGTTACTATTTACTTTTACTTATTCATATGCTCTTCTCCGTTACTATTTAGAGAAAAATGTTTGTAGTATTTTTTTTTAGTTGAAATTGTTATTACGTTGTTAAATTTTGTAGAGGTTCTTTTATCCTGCATTATTTAAAAGAGTATTTTATAAGTATATATGTGTGCTTACATAGACACATTGTTATTTATTGTTATGCAATATTTTTAATATCCACATGAACATATATATACTTTTAAAATACACTATTAAAAAGTTAAAAATAAAAAAGTTTTTTCTAAAGTTTGATATCGTTACTATTTATTTATTCATCTTTGATGTAATATATTATTTTCAAAGAATAATTAATATAGTGAATTTATCATTCAATTTATAAAAACCGATAAATATTTATGAGTTTATTTTGAATTAGGTATATTTTAAGAATATAAGTATTACTTATTCAGATTTAAAAGTTAACTTTGAATTAGTTTAAGAATACTCAGAAAATAATTTAAAAGATAAAAATAAAAAAAAATATCAACTTATATCAATTTTTTAAAATAAGTATATATTATCTAAGTGATTCACTCGTTCTAAAACTTGATGTAATAATAAAGCATCTCAATAGGCGCTCATACCGATTTTACGTATGCACCAATTTTGAACTCTATAGCTCATAAGACAATGTATATGCTAGTAGTGGTAGTAACCAATCAAGTTCATGAATTGAAGCTAGTTTTGGCTATCTATTTTGAATTCTTTCTTAAAAAGATACTAATTTGATTATAGATTTTGAATAAAATTTTAAAAATTTATTTTAAATATTTTTCAAGTTTTAAGAAATTATCTTGATCAGTTTTTAAATTTTGACTTTCATTTATGATATTTAATTTTTTTCTCAAATATAATCTTTTTAAAATTATTTCTCAAGTTCTAATTTCAAAACATATGACAAAATAAAACATTAGAGGTAAAGACCGAATACACATCCAACAACTTTAATTTATCCCCATTTTAAATATTTGCACTATATGTTAACCTTATTCCATTTTTTATGTACTATTTAAACATAAATTATTATAATTTTATTTATACTCTTTAATTACAGTGTACACTTTAAAAGGTAACATTAGTTTGTTAATATTTAAATAAAAAATCGATGCACATCAATCAGTTGTTTATTTCTCAATCAATTTATTTGCTAATTCAAGAAAAAAGTTTTAAAAAATTTTCCCCATAGTTTCTGCATATTCTTATGGAAAAAACAATCGATGGAAGTACATGAATTTTGTTTTTATAAATAAAATTGATAAACCAACGGAACTAGTCGCATTTTAGTATTTTTATTAATAATGTATCGAATTTTGTTTTTCTTTTTACCTATATGGAAGATAAGTCATTTTTATCCATAGTGTGAGTTAAGTTAAGATTTAAAAGAAATGAATATTTGACTTAAATTCAGAAGACCGAGTATATAACATACAAAAAAATAGAATACATTAACGTCATTTACTCAACAATTTATATTTAATAGTATTTTTCGTGCTTAGACGATAGTACATGAAAAATAAAATTAAAAGATTAAAATGAAAATGGAATAAGGTTGCTAGACTGGACTGTCAAAATAAAAATTGAAAGCAAAGTCTATTTGAACTAGTTTATTTTAAGTGTTTTTAAATATTTTAGTATGTTCGATGGATTTATAAAAAAGTATTTATGACCATTTAATTTTTAAGGTAAAATAAAAAAAGTAAGCTAAATTATAACTTAAAAATTCTCATTTATGACTTTTAATTTATAAGTTAAACCAATTCTAAAATGTGTTGTGTATATATATATATATATATATATATATATATATATTA